GCCATGTGGGGCGAGGGGATGATCTGCAAATTCCCGCCCTTGTTGAGGCTGCGGCACTTCGGGGGGCTTTCGTCGCCCACGACGCCTGCGACCTCTGTTTTCAAGCCCTTCGCCGCCTCGTCGCCTCGGACGCATTTGGAGACGGTTGCCCCCGTGCCCAGGCGCTCATCGGCCAAGTTCTGCCAGCACGGGTCTCTCTGCAAGAAGCGGAGCAAGTCTGGGTCCAGCTCCGCCTCCGCCATCGTGCCCGCGCCGTTTCTCCCCTGCGCCATGGAGATGCGCACGTCGAGCTGGGCGCCAGCCGGCTGCAGGAAGCGACGGGCCCTTAGACGACTGATTGTCGCTCTGGCGCCAGGGTGCCAAAGCAGGCAGCTCTCGGCGGCCTTCAACAAGTCTGGGGGGCAGTCTGCAAGTTCGCCAACGGGCCAGCGTCCTCGGCCGTCGAGCGCCTTCGCTGTTTCACCCTTTAGCCAATCCTCGCCCGACCCCTTGAACCACTTCTCAAAGAAAGGCAGGTTGTCCAGCCACGGGGCGGGTTCCTGGTCCTCGTAATTGTAGAAGTCCCCCGACCCTGGTTCCTTGCCTGGGATCCCCAAGACCTCCCTGCAGAAAACCGCGAAGTCTTTCGGGTGCCCCCCTGGATGCCCGAGCGCGCCGCAAGGCTCTGGTTGGAACAACACCTCGCGCGTGCACAACTCCATGGACCACCGAGTGGATCCCATGTCCAGGTCCTCTGAGTAGCGCTGGTTCCCCAAGAAAACGTCTACCGCTCTGTAAGCGGGAGCGCATACTCCGAGGTCATCGCAGGTCGGGCTGTAGCGCAGTTTCTTCTTCAACCTGCCGTGGGGATCCGCCATCCCCACACGGCCGAGGTCGGCGAGCACCACCTGCGGAGAGGGGCGGACGGAGGAGAGGGGGGCGACGGCGACTGAGCTCCCCCTGGGGGGAAGGGCGGGATAGAGGGCACGACGACGGCATCTCTGGGGAAGGGTGGAACCTCCCTTGTTAGAACTCGGTGTGAGACCTAACATGAAGACTAGTGAGATAAGCTGAGCTCTGACCTCGTCTATGAGGGCGTCGTCGGAGCTCTAACATGCTATGTTAGAGCTCCATGGGAGGGAGCTCTAACACGCTATGTTAGAGCTCCATCGGAGCTCTCACATGCTATGTTAGAGCTCCTTGGGGAGATCTGACATGCTAGGTTAGAGCTCCCATGGAGGTCTAATATGGCGCGTGAGAGCTCCATGGGAGGCCTAACATAGCATGTTAGAGCTCCCTTGGAGCTCTAACATGCTATGTTCAAGCTCCCTGGGAGCTCTAGCATACTATGTTAGAGCTCCATGTGAGCCCTGACAACTCGGGATCTTAGTCGAAGGAACGACGATGATGACGAGGATGACGACGACGACGACGAGGATGACGAGGATGACGATGATGACGAGGACGACGAGGACGACGACGACGAGGACGAGAAGGACGACGACGAGGACGACGAGGATGACGAGGATGACGAGGTCGACGAGGACGACGACGACGAGGACGAGGAGGACGACGACGGGGACGACGAGGACGACGAGGACGGCGAGGACGACGAGGACGACGAGGACGAGGAGGACGAGGAGGAGGACGACGACGACGACGGCGACGACGACGGCGACGACGACGTCGACGACGAGCGCCTCGAAGGAACTTGGGATCTGCCAGTCGAACTGCAGCTTGCTCTTTGGGCACGGCGCGACGGGATCCCATTCGCCAAGCTCACGTGATACAAGTGCCTGCTTCTCGAAGCAGCCGCGCGCCTGCGGCGATCCTCTCATCAGGATGTGCGCGGGCTTGATGTCGCAGGGAATGAGGCCCCTGTCGTTCATGTACTGGAGCCCTTCGAGAACGCTGTTCAGGACGTGGCGCATCCCTGTCTGCGTGAAGGAGGACTTATTGAGGAATTGGCGGGCATCGATCTCGACCAACTCGTACACGAGGCCGATGTGCTCCGTCCATTTCCAATCTATCCTTGGTACTGACTGTTGCAGTTCTCGGTGTGCTTTCTTCGGGACTGTTGCAGTTCCTGGGCACAACCTCCTGAAACAGGCCCACGTCGAGTAAGCGAACGAGACGCGGGCGCGTGCCCACAGCACCGCGGCGCGCGACCTCACCCAGAGCCCCTCCGACGGCATCCGCATTGAACCCCCTCTGCGCATCGCAGGGGTCGCCCCGCAACATCTTGATCGCAAGGCCAGTCTTGTCGCCCCGTCGCGTGCCCAAGTAGACCTTGCCGAAAGAGCCCTGACCGAGCTCCCCTCCTTCCCGCTGCACGTCGTACTCGAGCGGCAGGTCCTCGCACTTGCCATTCTGTTTGTTTTGGCACGCGTGCCCGACCGCGTCGAGCTTCCGCGCAAATAGATCCACACGACCCTCGTCGTGGGACGCCGCTCTCGGACCAGCAGGCCCGCGACGAGCAGTTGCCGGTGGCGTAGGCTCCGATACCCCGTCCGCGGCGGGAACGAGCACCTTCCCCAGCGCGTCCTCTAAGGTTTCTCCTGCGACACCGTGGCCCTCGGCGACAGCTGGCTCATCTTCTGCAGCGCTAGCTGTTCCAGCCAATGTCGAGCACCCTGGCACCCCCGCAGGCTTGCTCACATAGTCTTTCCAGTTGGCGCCCAGCGCAACCTTGAAGAGCCGCGTGCAGGTGTCATACGAAACTGGCCTTGGCCACGTCAACACACATTTGTTCTTCGTTACCTTCTCCAGCGTCACTTTTGCGGACGGGGCCCCTTTTGCCACCCTGGCCATGTTATTGCTGCAGGCCCCCCTCAGCTTCTCGTTGATCTTGTCGCTGTTCGACCCGTCACCCCGCAAGTAATAGCCCCACTTATAGAAGAGAACCATGTTCCTGTCGCGACCGCTGCCGCCCGAGGCAGCCATCGCCGCGGAGGCCCGCTGACGGCGGCGTCGCCCCTGCGGGCCCGCTAAGTTTCAGTGAACCGAAACGCCTGCGGGCCCCTCCTCCGCCCTCCCCCTCCCCCTGCGGCCGCTCCTCGGAGCGTTGCTTCCCGCGTCTTCCCCACCCTGCTGCATCCCCATCCTGGCCCGCCCCGACAGAGCGCCGCAAGGATGCAATGGCCTTGGCGGCACGGCATCTGTTGTTTATCCAGCCCCCCAGCTTCGGAGCGGAAAGCGTAGGATGCAAGGGTACCCTTTGGAAAGGTAAGCATCCTGACTCTGCGCCTTGCCTGCGCCGTGGGCCAAGTGCGACGGATGGCGACGAAGGGATGACGGAGGACTACGTTCCTATCTGTACGCAAGGTGCCGTGCACTGCACAGGCCAGACCGTGGCGCGCGCCCCATTGCGAGAACGGAGGCGACGCCGCCAGCGCGCGACTGTTGCAATCCAAAATCAAACAAGTGGTAGCTCCACGGGAAGAGGAGCGCGCGGGCTGGTTCCTGCGTCGGAGCTGTCGAATACTGTTGCAGCCTGTGCCCAAGCCTGTGCTCTGTTTCAGCCTGTCTTCGGCTTCTTCTTCTTCGAGGCCGAGGAGTCGTCTGAGGACGAGGAGTCCGAGGTCGAGGACGCGTCGGCGTCGCGCTCCTTACCCTTATTACCCTTCTTAGTTTCATCCTTCTTGTCCTTCCTTCTTATCATCCTTATTGTCCTTCTTCTTGTCCTCCTTCTTGCCCTCCTTCTTGTTGTCGTCCTTCTTCCCATCCTTCGGGTCCTCATTCGGGCCCTCCTTTGTCAGGCGCAACTGCACCGAGCGAGCAAGCAGGTCCTCGTTCACGAACACCATGGAGCTGCCCCCGAGCATGGCCTCGACAGCACGCTCCACGAGAAACGGCTCGACCACCTTCGCGTGGTGGTCGTCGAAAGCCAAGGCCAACACACTGCACCCGCTCTCGACGCAGCCGCGCATGCCTGCGCCGCCCGCAGGCGTGCCGAAGTACACCCACCTGGGCTTCCCCGCCTCGTGGCAGAGCTCGATGTCGCTGTCGCGCTGGAACCACGGCACCTCCGTTCCCGTGAGCTGGCGGCAGAGCTTCCGCTTCTTCACGGCCGCAGTCACGAGGGCCTTCTCGGGGAGGACGGCTGTTGCGGCTTCGTCGCGCGCCTCGGCGCCACAATCAGCGCCCTCGTCCTCCTGGAGAGGGTGGCAGTACCCCAGCTTCTCTCGCTCCTCGGCCTCCACCTCGGTGACGCACTGGCCGACCATGCTGGCCAAGCTGGTCTCCCGAACCTGCTTGGGCACGAGGGCGCGGCTCTTCTGCGGCAGGACAGGCACGCTCCTCATCACTTCGTTGAAGAGGGGGCTGCCCGCGTCCACGAACTGCCTGATCTTGGCCATTTGCTTCGGCTTCCTCCCCTTGTAGCAGAGCAAAATGACCTCGTGCGAGCGCGAGTTCGCCAGGCCTCGCTGCCTCTGGAAGTAGCCGCACTGCTGCATCTGCTTCGTGTTGTAGGCGAGGTGGCATGTGACCGTGCGGAACTTGTTTGCGGCGAGGATCTTCTGGATCTTCGGGAGTTTCGACTGCGCGCGGCCCGTCAGCACCCACAGCGCGCCCCGTCCACCGACCATCAGCGGTTCCAGGGACTTCAGGTAGCGCGTGAAATCCAGCTCGTCCAGCGCGGGCTCACGGCGCGTGAGGCCTTGCCCCTCGAAGACGCAGCACAACTTCGCATTCTTGACATCGTAGAAGCCCATCACTGGTGCATTATCTGTGAGGTTCTGGTATAGGCGTGTCTTAGTAACCGAAGCGTTGATATCCATGGCGCTGACCTCCACCGTGATCACGACGACCCGCGTATCCAGCACGGTAGAGCACTGCTGCTCGCACAGCGCCTTGAAGTTATTCACGTCGCTCGGGGAGACGTCGATCTTCTTCTTGTCCTCGGGGGCCGCCTCCGCTGTTCCAGCGCCGCCCGCTGTTGCAGCACCGACCGCGTCGCTGTCTGCAGGCTTTTGATCTGACGGTTCCTGGGGGTTCCCCGCGAGGGAGTCGTACGCGACCTGGAACTTCTCGAAGAGCCTCTTGTTCACTCGCACGCTCCTGTGGAACTTGTCCATGTTGTAGCGCTCGGCGTACTGCTGGGTGAGGGCGTCAGAGATCTCCTGCTTGTAGAAGTCCTGGTCTATTTCGAGGAAGCGTTGCATCGCCAGGCGCAGCGCCTCGGTCGGCAGTGACTGCACCCAGGTCGGGTCCTTGTCAGGCCCCTCAGTCTTCTCGAAGAACTTGAGCGGCGAGTCGAGGTTTGCCTCGCCATGACCATGACTTTTCTCTCGGCGGCGTTCTCCTGTGCGCCGGTTGTTTCAATGCTGTTGCAGCCAGTGCTCCCTTTGAACAAGTCTGGGCACTGTTTCAGAAAGTTCGCCACGTACTACTTCGCCCACAAGATCTCGCCCACTGCTTGGCCGATGGTGGAAGCGCTGCACGGGCCCTTCACGCTCTTCCGCCACATCCGCGTGCACAAGCTTTCCAAGACGTACCCCAGCGAGGTAGCGTCCGTATTCGCGATGATCGCCCCAAGCTGTGTGGGCCTGTCCAGCAGATTGTCTCGCCCCCAACGGTTCACGGCGGCATCCGAAAGCAGCAATGCCCCCGGGCACTTTTCGAGAGCGAGCCAGTTGACCATGTGCGCCTTGACGGTCCTCAGGCTGGGGCAGTGAATAAGTCCCCACTTTATGTTTTGCTCCAACCACGCCTGCACCTTCTCTGCCGATGGGGTTCCCGCCACCTGGCCCGCCGCTCTTCAAGATGTCCGCCGCACGTGCCACGATGCGCATGAGGTTCTGGCTCTCGACCCCGAGGAAATCGCGCAGGCGCTCGTTGCGGGATCTCTGGTTGACAGACCACTTGAACTTGTTCTCCTCGACCTCCTCAGCCGCGCGCCCCGGGATCAGCACGAAATCGAAGGGCCAATCCAGAATCAAGTCCTCCACCGCTTCTACGGCCTGCCTGTCGCCTTCCTCGTTCGCCCAGTAGTAGGCCAGCCAGACAGCCCTGACCACGACGTCACTGCCCAAACGCTTGAGCTTGCCGATCTCGGGCACAGCGGTCTGGTTCACGTTGGTGATCATGATGGGGATCTCGAACCCTTTCTCAACCTGCTTCGGGATGTTCCAACGCCTGCCACCCTTGACCTGGCTTAGCGTCTCCACGATGCGCCGCTGTGGGTTACCCTGGGCTGTGCACTCGACGTCGCCAGCGCCCTCGTGAGAGTCGTTCGCTGTTTCAGCCGCGTCGTCCGTCGGCACGGTCCGCATGAACATGTCCGCAGCCACGTTCTCCACCTTGCCCACCGTGATATTCTCCTCCAGGAAACTGTTGTCGATGGGCGCCGTATACGCCAGGTTCAGATAGGCATTCCTGCGCTCGCCCTTCTCGTTACACTCTTCGATGATCCTGGCGAGCTTCTCCTGCAATGGAGTTCTCTCCTTGCTGTCCTTCTTCGAGATCTTCTTCGACTGGTCCTCCTGCGACTTGTCTGGCTTCTCCCTCTTCGGCTTCTCGGCCCTCTCGGCGACGCGCTTCGGAATGGTCTTGAGAAGCCGCTTGAAGTCAGTCTCGATGAGGGGGAAAACCTTGTCGGCCCAGAAGTCCTTGAACGGCTGCGCCGCGAAGCCGCTCATCGCGCTCAGGCGGGCTGGTTCAGCTGCGGGCTGGCCGTTCCACCTCGCGCGCCTGTTGCAGGTCGGGCTGGAGCCGCGGTGGGAATGGAATTGGGCAATGATGGAAGAAGAGGGGCCGTTGTAGCCGATGGAACGTCCAGAGGGCGGATAGGAAGCAGAGCGAAAATAGCCGCAACCAATTCTAGACGAACTCACGGATGTCGGAAGTCGCCCATTCCCTCGAAGCAATGCGAAGATTAATGCATTTTCAGCGAGCGAGGGCGCCAAGAGCCTGTCGAGTTCTCCCCAGATGGCCTACCAGCTCTTGATGGGTGGGCCCAGAGATTTTGCAAGACCCCAACGGCACCAAGAAATTCTAACTACCCTAAGGGCCTCAAGAGGAGATCCCAGAAATTCTATCTCCCCACAGGGCCTCAAGAGAGATTGCCAGAAATTCCTCGCCCCTCAGGGCGTCAAGAGGAGATCCCAATCTTCAACGCGCTCATTTTTTGAGCCCTAGTAGATCCAGAACCTCATGAATCTGTTATTCTTTCGAGATTCGCTGCCAGGCCGATGGTTTCGACTGACTGCGCTAGCCGCTAGAACAGAGAACAGCTACAGCGCGCCCCCCCTCCCCCCCCGCCCTCGCGGCGGACAGCGTCGGATAATCCATGTACTCGGGGGGGGGGCCTGGAGCCATGGGGCGTTGATCCGATCGGCATAAGCCCGACACTTGCGCAAACGTCCAGTGGTGCCAGTGGGGGGGTGGGGGGGGGGCGCGCGCGCGCTGCGGGGCGGGGGATGAGACGGCGCGCATGCTGCAGCTCGCACGGCTTTGCATGGAGCGCGCGTGTGGCATCGGGCCGACGGACCGAAAGAAGCAGCCGCGGGGGCGGCGTCCTGCAGGGCACAGAATGCAGATGAGGCCTATGGATTAAGGGCGAGTCGGGTCGGGTCGTCGTCGCGTCGTCGTCGTCGTCGCGGTCGTCAAAATCTCTGATCATATCGCCTCGCCCCCATCCCCCCCCCTCCCCCTTCCCCCATCTACTCCAACGCGCGGCATTTACTCCAACGCGCGGCGCGTGGCGGGCCCTCACCACGCTAGCAGCCCGCAAAATCGCGGTTAGTTTTGGGGTGGTGGCCGACGCGCATGTGAAGAAGGTTGCGCCTGCCATAGTGATCACTGCGGATCCCTGAACAGGGCGCGCAGAGCTTCCTGGAACATACACGCTCAGAGAAGCCGCCGCATACGGTGCAGATGTCAACGCTGCGATAGCGGGCCATCACGCGGCTGCTGTGGCACCCGAGCGCGCCAGCCGCGAGGGGCAAGATCCGGCGGAAGTGCGGTGCGATCCACGGCGCAGTGGCTGGCCAGCCGGGGCACCTCCAAGGCTTGCCCCGCTGGTGCCGGCGGAGGCAGCCCAGGCTGCCCAGGCTGCACAGCGACAGGAGGAGGCTGCCCAGCGGCAGCGACAGGAAGTGCTGGGGGTGGGAGTGGGAGCGCGGCCCCTGCGCCACCCGGAGCTGCAGCGGCGCCCACAGGGCCTGCGGCCGCAGCGCCACCACCACCAGCAGCTGGCACATGAACCGCATGCTGGAACACGGCGGCGGCCCCCGGGGCGCGCTGGTCGTCGCCGCCGCCGCCCACCACGACTCCATCTCCATTGATGGTCACACCGCCCACCCCGACTCCATCTCCATTGATGGTCACACGAAGCTGGAGCTGGATGTGAATCGTCGTCGACGGCCCAGATGCTGCCATCGCGGCCATCGCGGCGAGCGTCGACGCCGCGTCGACGCCTGAGTCCGAGGCGGGGGGGGGTCGCCTGCTCAGGCTGAGGAGGAGTACAGCCGAAACACTGGACCTTCGCACTGCAGACGGCTGAGGCTGAGGCAGCGACGCCGACGGACGGTGACGACGACGACGGGTCACGGGCCATGGGCCACCGGCCACGGGGGAGACCGTCGGACCGTCGGGGGGCGCCGCACGATGACTCATCTGCGAGGGCCCTCCGTCGGGAGGCCCCTCGACCACTCGGCCCTCCCGACGGGAGTCGACAGCCAGGGCCCGAGAATCCGATCGTATGTTAGAGCTCCAATGGAGCTCTAACATCGTATGTTAGATTATGTTAGGGCTCCCTGGGAGCTCTAACATCGCATGTTAGAGCTCCGTGGGAGCTCTGAGGCGGCGGCGGCGGCGGCGGCGGGTAGGTTCGAGCTACCAGGGAGCTCTAACATAGCATGTTAGAGCTCCCAGGGAGCTCTAACATGCTATATTAGAGCTCCCATGTTAGAGCTCCCTGGGAGCTCTAAAATACCGAGCTCCAACGGAGCTTTAACATAGCATGTTAGAGCTCAGTGGGAGCTCCCTGGGAGCTCTAACATGGTATGTTAGAGCTCCGTGGGAGCTCTAACATGGCTTGTTAGAGCTCCAACGGAGCTCTAAATAGCATGTTCGAGTATGTTAGAGCTCCCTGGGAGCTCGGTATGTTATGTTAGAGCTCCCCCCTGGGAGCTCTAACATGGTATGTTAGAGCTCCGTGGGAGCTCTAACATGGCATGTTAGAGCTCCAACGGAGCTCTAACATAGCATGTTCGAGTATGTTAGAGCTCCCTGGGAGCTCTAACATGCTATGTAGAGCTCCCATGTTAGAGCTCCCTGGGAGCTCTAACATACCGAGCTCCAACGGAGCTTTAACATATCATGTAGAGCTCCGTGGGAGCTCCCTGGGAGCTCTAACATGGTATGTTAGAGCTCCGTGGGAGCTCTAACATGCTCTAACATGCTATGTTAGAGCTCCCAGGGAGCTCTGACATAGCATGTTCGATTATGTTAGAGCCCCCTTGTCGCTCTAACATCGCATGTTAGAGCTCCGTGGGAGCACTGAGGCGGCGGCGGCGGCGGCGGGTAGGTTAGAGCTACCAGGGGGCTCGAACATAGCACGTTAGAGCTCCCAGGGAGCTTTAAAATACCGAGCTCCAACGGAGCTTTAACATAGCATGTTAGAGCTCAGTGGGAGCTCCCTGGGAGCTCCAACATGGTATGTTAGGGCTCCGTGGGAGCTCTAACATGGCTTGTTAGAGCTCCAATTGAGCTCTAACATATCATGTTCGAGTATGTTAGAGCACCGCGGGAGCTCTAACATGGCATGTTAGAGCTCCCAGGGAGTTCTAACATGGTATGCTAGCCTTGAGCTCTAACATAGGATGTTAGAGATCCCTTGGAGCTCTACCATGGCATGTTGGATTAGGTTAGAGCTCCCTGGGAGCGCTAAATTCGTATGTTAGAGCTCCGTGGGAGCTCTGAGGCGGCGGCGGCGGCGGGCAGGTTAGAGCTACCAGGGAGCTCTAAAACAGCATGTTAGAGCTCCCAGGGAGCCCTAACATGCTATGTTAGAGCTACCATCTTAGAGCTCCCTGGGAGCTCTAACATACCGAGCTCCAACGGAGCTGTACCATATCATGTTAGAGCTCCGTGGGAGCTCCCTGGGAGCTCTAACATGGTAGGTTAGAGCTCCGTGGGAGCCCTAACATGCTTTAACATGCGATGCTAGAGCTCCAAGGGAGCCCTAACATAGCACTTTAGAGCTCCAACAGAGCTCTAACATAGCATGTTCGAGTATGTTAGAGCTCCCAGCGAGTTCTAACGTGGTATGTTAGCCTCGAGCTCTAACATAGGATGTTGTTAGAGATCCCTTGGAGCTCTATCATGGCACGTTGGAGCTCCCATGGAACTCCAACATGATATGTAAGAGCTCCTTGGGAGCTCTAACGTGTTATGTTAGATTTCGATGTGGGGGTTGTGAACTCTAACATGCTATGTTAGAGCTCGATGGGAGCTCTAGCATAGCATGTTAGAGCTCCCATCGAGCCGCTCCCCCCGCCGTCGTCGCCGTCATCGTCGCCATCGTCGTCGTCGCCCCATCGGCCCCCCACCCCCCTCCTTTTCAGCGAGCATAAGTAAGGAAACATGTCCGAACACGGCCGCACTCTCGCGCGCGCCGCTGCCCTGTCCTCGACCTCGAGAACGAAGGCTTCCCCCTTGAAAGGCGGGGGCGCAGGGGTGGGGCCCTGCCTTCGACCGCGGTGAAACATGGGGGTGGGGCCCTGTCTTCGACCACGGTGAAACATGAATAGGGCGCGGCCCTCCCCGCCCTCGCGGGGCGGCCTTGCCCCCTGGGGCGCGGTCGGGGATCAGGGGCGGAGGGGATTCAGGGACTACCGAATTAGAACTAGAAGGTGGGGAGGAGGAGGGGGAGGAGGAGGAGGAGGAAGGCTTCACCGCCCCCCACGCACCGCCGACTTTCATCATGCATCCGTCCCGCGCTGGCGAGCTCTTCACTGAGAAAGTACCCACTCCTGGCAATATGAAGACGCGCTTCTCGTTGAGCTCCGTAATGAGTGCTATTGCGGCCAGCTGTTGAAGCATGGCCGCCGCGGTAACCAAGTTGGCGCCGCCCCCAACCGATGCCCCCCTCGTCAACGCCAGAGGGGAGGTCGGCTTATGGCCGTGAGCGCGGTATACCGCGATTTCGCTCATGCCACGGAGGTTCAAGACCTTCGGGGCCATCGGAAAGAAAGGCGACAGGCCCTCGATAGAGCAAACTCGCCAACAACTTCTCGAGCCAAGCGAGACTACGTACAATCAGATGGTGCGGGCCAGGAAACTGGAAGACTCCAGAGCGGTTGTGGATACTTCAGGCCAGGGTCAGGATGAGCATTGGAAGAGCCTACTGGGGGACCCAAGGATGAGCCAGCACAGGAAGGCCTCAGCATAATTGCGCGAGGCTGCTGCGAGAAGCCTGATGGCGACTGTGACAAGGGAATGCGGCGGCACGCCGCTGTGAGAAGACTTATACGACAACGCTAGCCGCGCGAGGAGCTACTGCCGCAGGCAGCGGCCCGCGCGAGGTCACTCGGTCATCCTTCTTCGTATGGTAGCTTGGTTTCTTATGGTAGTGTTGTTTCTTATGGTAGCTGGGTTTCTTAGGGTAGATTGGCTTCTCATGGTAGTTTGGTCTCATATGGTAGCTGGGTTTCTTATGGTAGAGCAGCCTATCATGATAGCTTGGTTTCTTTATCTGGCATCTGTCCTGACATGTTCGAGCCCCCACGGAGCTCGATCATGCGATGTTAGAGCTCCCAGGGAGCTCTAACATGACATGTTAGAGCTCCCGCGGAGCTCTAACATGCGATGTTAGAGCTCCCAGGGAGCTCTAACATAATCTAACATGATATGTTAGGGCTCCCTTGGAGCTCTAACATACGATGTTAGAGCCCCCAGGGAACTCTCACATCATCTAACATACTATGTTAGAGCTACCAGGGAACTCTAACATAATCTAACAACATGCTATGACAGAGCTCCGCTGGAGCTCTAACATGTCATGTTACAGCTCCCTGGAGCTCTAAAATCATCTAACCACCCTAAGGGCCTCAAGAGGAGATCCCAGACATTCTATCTCCCCACAGGGCCTCAAGAGAGATTGCCAGAAATTCCTCGCCCCTCAGGGTGTCAAGAGGAGATCCCAATCTTCAACACACTCATGTTTTCAGTCCTACTAGATGCAGAACCCCATAAATCTGTTATTATTTCGAATTCGTTGGCCCGCTGCACGGGCGCACCGAGTGAGCGCGGCGAAGGAGCCAGCGCGCGAGCCGGGCTGCGCGCCTGAGACATCGGCTACCAGACGCCCATGCGAGGTCACTTGTCCTGCTGCTGAGCTCACTGGTCCTCCTTCTTGTCCTGCTGCTTGGGCTCCTCCACTTTCTGATCGAACTCCTCGACTTTCTCCCGCAGGTCCTGGAGCGCCTGCCCCTGCGCCCGCAGGAGGTCCAGAATCTGATCCATCTTCCCGGCCATGCTGTTCTGCGCCGTAAGGTTAGGAGCAGCGTTGGTCAAGAAATGGATCATCGAGGTGATAACGGTGGTTAGCCCGTCCTGCTGCTGCTGCTGCGTAAGCTTCTGCTGGCACTGCTGTGCTCATGCTGTTGCAGCTCCTGCTGTTGCAGCTCCTGATGACGCAGCTCATGAGCTGTTCCAGCTTTTCCAGGTGTTCTCTCCTGCCGCTGTTCCAGCTTCTTGCTGATGGCCTTCACTTTGCCATTGCTCTCTGCTCTCTCTGCCCTTGAGCTTGGGCTTCTTCGACGACCTCCAATCATCCGCTTCATCGATTTTCCGCTTCGGGGCGTAGCTCGAGTGGAGCACCACAGTGTTCATGATCTTAGAGCACCATGCGGCCTTCGCCTCATCAGAACCCTGTGGACAAGCATTATGCCACAAGAGATGCTTATTCTGTACATTCTTGGTGTGGTCCGCCGAAATCTGGTGCGTCGGGGCTGCCCATTTCTCGCGTGGTTAACAAAACCACCAGGGCTCCTTAGGTTCTCCACTCTTCTTCGAAACGTACTCGCGAACTTCTAGCCATGGCGCATCAATGGGTCCAGTGTCAGGGTCCATAATGACGGTTTCTGGACATGGGCCAGGCCTCCCTGCGCTGGCCCCCATTTCTGACATGGCAGCCTGCAGGCGCTGCAAGACATGCCTTGAGCCGAGGTGCCTGCGCTAGAGGAAAGCTGGGTGGTCTGATAAATGGAACCAAGAGGGGTCCAGGAAACTATGTTGTGGGTTCCCGAAGGGCAGGGCGATTTGAGGGATCCCCCTTCGTTGATCGATGCCCCCTCACATGGTAGAGCTCCCAGGGAGCTCTAACATGGCATGTTAGAGCTCCCAGGGAGCTCTAACATGGTATTTTAGAAGAGCTTCAGGGAACTCGAACAAGCTATGTTATTGCTCCCTGGGAGCTCTAACGTAGGATGTTAGAGCTCCCGTGGAGCTCTAACATGCTATGTTAGAGCTCCCACGGAGCTCTAACATACGATGTTAGAGCCACCAGGGAGCTCTAACATACTCTAACATTCTATGTTAGAGCGCCGCGAGAGCTCTAACATGCCATGTTAGAGCTCCCTGGGAGCTCTAACATGCCATGTTAGAGCCCCCTGGAGCTGTAACATACCATGTTAGAGCTCCCTGGGAGCTCTAACCTACCCGCCGCCGCCGCCGCCGCCCCTTAACCGCTCTACAATCGATTGCGCAACGGTTAAGACCCCCCTCTCGCCAGGGGGTCTTAACCGTTGCGCAATCGATTGTGAAACGGTTAGGCGCTCCGCTGCCGCCGCCGCCGCCGCCGCCGCCGCCGCCCCTTAGCCGTTTCACAATCGATTGTGCAACGGCGAAGACCCCCTCTCGCCAGGGGGGGGCCTTAACCGTTGCGCAATGCATTTGTGCAACGGTTAAGCGCCGCCGCCGCCGCCGCCCCTTAACCACTTCACAATCGATTGCGCAGCGGTTAAGTCCCCCCTCTCGCCGGGGGGGCCTTAAACGTTGCGCAATCGATTGTGAAACAGTTACGCGCCGCAGCCGCCGCCGCCGCCGCCGCCCCGCAACCGCTTAACCGCTTCACAATCGATGGCGCAACGGTTAAGACCCCCCTCTCGCCAGGGGTGGCCTTAACCGTTGCGCAATCGATTGTCAAACAATGAAGCGCTCCGCCGCCGCCGCCGCTGCCGCCGCCGCCCCTTAACCGTTCCACAATCGATTGCGCAACGGTTAAGGCCCCCCCCTCTCGCCAGGGGGGGGTCTTAACCGTTGCGCGATCGATTGCGAAGCGGTTGAGGCCCCCCCCTCTCGCCAGGGGGGGGTCTTAACAGTTGCGCGATCGATTGCGCGACGGTTAAGCCCGCCCCCCCTCTCGCCAGGGGGGGGGCCTTAACCGTTGCGCGATCGATTGCGAAACGGTTGAGGCCCCCCCCTGGAGAGAGGAGGGGGTCTTAACCGTTGCGCGATCGATCGAATCCTGGTTAAGACCCCCTACTTTGCCGGTCAAGGCCCCCCCCGGGGCCCAGGGGGGGCCTCAACCAGCGAAGTAGGGGGTCTTAACCGCTCCGCGCTCGAGCGCGGAACGGTTAAGACCCCCTATTGCGAGAGGGGGGTCTGGACCAGGATTCGATCGATCGCGCAACGGTTAAGACCCCCTCCTCTCGCCAAAAGGAGGGGGCCTCAACCGCTGCGCAATAGATGTGCGACACCGTTAAAGGGAGCCCACCCCCCTGCGATAGGGGGGGGCCTTAACCCGTTTCAACAATCGAATCGCGCACGTTAAGACCCCCCCCCCAACACAAGTCAGAGGGTGGGGGTCCTATAACCGATGCGCAATCGATTGTGAAACTGTTAAAGTGCCCCCCCCCCACCCCCCCCCCCCCCCCCCTCTCATCTCGCCAGCGGGGTGGCTTTAAAAAAAAAAAAAAAAACCGTAGCGCAATCGATTGCGACGCGGTCCAAGCCCCCCACCCTGGCGAGAGGGGAGGGACTTAAACCGTTGCGCAAAAAATCGATTGCGAAACGGTTCAGGGCGGGCGGCGGACCGGCGGCGGCGGCGGTTTAGAGCTCCCAGAGGCTCTAACATAGCAATTAGAGTATGTTAGAGCTACCTGGGAGCTCGAACATGGCATGTTAGAGCCCCGTGGGAGCTCTAACATGGCATGTTGGAGCTCCCTGGGAGCTCTAACATCGCATGTTAGAGCTCCAATGAAGCTCTAACATAGCATGCTATATTATGTTAGAGCTCCCTGGAAGCTCTAACATCGTATGTTAGAGCTCCGTGGGAGCTCTAACATCGCATGCTAGAACTCCGTGGGACCTCTAACATGTCATGGTATAGCTCCCTGGGAGCTGAAACATGTCACGTAAGAGCTCCCAGGAACCCCCCTGGCACCTCTAACCTAGCATATTAGACCTCACAGGGAGCTCTAACATGGCATGATAGAGCTCCAAGAAGTTCTAACATGATATGTTGGCACTCCCAGGGAGCTCTAACATGGCATGTTAGAGCTCCAACGGAGCTCTAACATAGCATGTTAGAGTATGTTAGAGCTCCCTGGGAGCTCTAACATCGCATGTTAGAGCTCCATTCGAGCTCCAATGGAGCTTTAACATAGCATGTTAGATTAAGTTAGAGCTGCCTGGGAACTCGAACATCGTATGTTAGAGCTCCGTGGGAGCTCTAACACGGCGGCGGCGGCGGCGGCGGGTAGGTTAGAGCGACCAGGGAGCCCTAACATAGCATGTTAGAGCTCCCATAGTAGAGCTCCCTGGGAGCTCTAACATACCGAGCTCCAACGGAGATCTAACATAGCATGTTAGAATATGTTAGAGCTCCCTGGGAGCTTTAACATGGTATGTTAGAGCTCCGTGGGAGCTCTAAAATGCTCCAACATGCTATGTTAGAGCTCCCAGGGAGCTCTAACATGCTATGGTAGAGCTCCAACGGAGCTCTGACATAGCAGGTTAGAGTATGTTAGAGCTCACTGGGAGCGCTAACATGGCATGTTAGAGCTCCGCGGGAGCTCTAACATGGCATGTTAGAGCTCCCGGCCTCCTCGTCGGAAGCGGCCCCATCGACTGGCTGGGATTAGGGCTGGTTTAGGTTGATATGTTTGATGTTATTTTTGATGTGATTATGGTCTTTCCTGTTGTTTGATGTGTTTTTTTTGATTGTGATTATGACGATGTCATGTTTTTCTGCTTGTGATGATGACGATGTTTATGACGATGTTAATGATAATTTTGAATGGCGACTATCCGATCGTATATATACAATCAACATCATCTCCATCACCATCATCACCATCATCCATCACCATCATCACCACCATCATCACCATCATCATCATCACGACGACGACGACGACGACGATGGCGGGGGGACGCAATGCGGACGCGCCCAATGGGACGACGACGACGACGACGACGGCGGGGGGGACGGCTCGATGGGAGCTCGAACATGCTACGTTAGAGGTCCCATCGAGTATGGGAGGCAACTCTAACATGCTGTTAACATAGCAAGTTAGAGTAGGTTGGAGCTCCTTGGGAGTTCTAACATCGTATGTTAGAGCCCCGTGGGACCTCTAACCTGTCATGTTATTATATAGCTCCCTGGGAGCTGAACCATGTGATGCCAGGGAACTCCCTGGCACCTCTAACCTTGCATGTTAGACCTCCCAGGGAGCTCTAACATTGCATGGTAGAGCTCCAACGGAGCTCTAACAGAACACGTTCGATTATATTAGAGCTCCCTGGAAGCTCTAACATGGCATGTTAGAGCTCCAGTGGAGCTCTAACATACATAGCATGTTAGATTATGGTAGAGCCCCAATGGAGCTCTAACGTCGTATGTTCGAGCTCCGTGGGAGATCTAACATGATATGTTAGAACTCCGTGGACGCACGAAGTCAGCGCCTGAAATCAATATATCAACACCTGCTCCCAAAACGAAGTAGTCGAGGATCGAGCTCGAGGTGGGGCCCCGACAGGTGGGCGCTGTGGGGGCCATAAGGAGCATACCCACTTTGCGAACAAATCCAGAACCTTCCAAAACTTCAGGAGCCATATTCCAGCCCCCTGCCCCGCGTCAGCGCGGCGAAAGAGCCAGCACGCGAGCCAGGCTGCACGCCTCCAACATCGGCTACCAGACGCCCATGCGAGGTCACTTGTCCTGCTGCTGAGCTCACTGGCGCTGCTGTGTGTCCTTCTGCTTGAGCTCCTCCACTTTCTGATCGAGCTCCTCGACTTGCTTCTGCAGTTTGTTCTGCGCCCGCATGAGATCCGCGAGCATCTGTCCCTGCGCCCGCAGGAGAACCAGAATATCATCCATCTTCTCGTCCTTGGTCTGTGCGTTGGCCAAGAAATTGAGCATCGTGGTGATAACGGTGGTTAGCCCGTCCTGCTGCTGCCACTGCTGTGCTCCTGCTGTATCAGCTCCTGCTGTTGCAGCTCCTGGTGACGCAGCTCTTGAGCTGTTCCAGCTTTCCAATTGTTCTTCTCTCCTGCAGCTGTTCCAGCTGCGTGCTGATGGCCTTCACTTTGCCATTGCTCTCCTCTGCCCTCTCTGGCCTTGACCTTGGCCTTCCTCGTCGACCTCCAGTCATCCGCTTCATCGTCTTCCCGCTTCTGGACGTAGCTCGAGTGGGGCTCCACAGTGCTCATGATGGTGGAGGACCATGCGGTCTTGTCCTCATCAGAACCCTGTGAACAAGCATCATGGAACCAGAGAAATTTATTCTTTACATTCTTGATGTGGTCCTGCGAAATCTGGCGCGTCGGGGCTGCCCATTTGTCGCGCGGTGAACAATGCCACCAGGGCTCATTAGGTTCTCCGCTCGTCTTCGAAACGCACTCCTTAACTTGTAGCCATGGAGCATCAATGCGTCCAGTGTCAGTGACCATGATGATGGTTTCTTGACAGGGCCACCCCCCCCCCCCCCCCCCCCCCCCTGCGCAGCCCCCCATTTCTGGCATGGCCGCCTGCAGGCGCTGCAAGAAATGCCTTGAGCCGAGGTGCTTGCGCTACAGGGAAGCTGGGTGTGCTCTACTACTGCAGCGGCTGTCGCAGCGGCTGTTGCAGCGGCTGTTGCAGCGGCTGTTAAAGCGGCTGTTGCAGCGGCTGTTACAGCGGCTGTTGCAGCGGCTGTTGCAGCGGCTGTTGCAGCGGCTCTTGCAGCGGCTCTTGCAGCGGCTGTTGCAGCGGCTGTTGCAGCGGCTGTTGCAGCGGCTGTTGCAGCGGCTGTTGCAGCGGCTGTTGCAGCGGCTGTTGCAGCGTCTGTTGCAGCGGCTGTTGCAGCGGCTGTTGCAGACGCTGTTGCAGCGGCTGTTGCAGCGGCTGTTGCAGCGGCCGTTGCAGCGGCTGTAGCAGCGGCTGTTGCAGCGGCTGTTGCAAGCAGCACGGCTGTTGCAGCTGCCTGTTGCAGCGGCTGTTGCAGCGGCTGTTGCAGCGGCTGTTGCAGCGGCTGTGCAGCGGCTGCAGCGGCTGTTGCAGCGGCAGTGGCAGCGGCTGTTGGCGCGGCTGTGCAGGCGGCTGCGCAGCGGCTGTTGCAGCGGCTGTTGCAGCGGCCTGTTGCAGCGGCTGTTGCAGCGGCTGTTGCAGCGGCTTGTTGCAGCGGCTGTTGCAGCGGCTGTTGCAGCGGCTGTTGCAGCGGCTGTTGCAGCGGCTGTCGCAGCGGCTGTTGCAACGGCTGTTGCAGCGGCTGTTGCAGCGGCTGTTGCAGCGGCTGTTGCAGCGGCTGTTGCAGCGCACTGGCGGTTCTGCCACTTCTGCATCGCAGCCTCAGTCGTCACAGAGGTGAGGTCGAAACGGGAGATCGTCCTCACGCTCGCCAGTTTCTGGGTTGAGCGCTACTACTGCAGCGGCTGTTGCAGCGGCTGTTGCAGCGGCTGTTGCAGCGGCTGTTGCAGCGGCTCTTGCAGCGGCTGTTGCAGCGGCTGTTGCAGCGGCTGTTGCAGCGGCTGCTGCAGCGGCTGTAGCAGCGGCTGTTGCAGCGGCTGTTGCAGCGGCTGTTGCAGCGGCTGTTGCAGCGGCTGTCGCAGCGGCTGGTGCAGCGGCTGTTGCAGCGGCTGTTGCAGCGGCTGTTGCAGCGGCCGTTGCAGCGGCTGTTGCAGCGGCTGTTGCAGCGGCTGTTGCAGCGGCTGTTCCAGCGGCTGTTGCAGCGGCTGTTGCAGCAGCTGTTGCAGCGGCTGTTGCAGCGGCTGTTGCAGCGGCTGTTGCAGCGTACTGGCGATTCTGTCACTTCTGCATCGCAGCCTCAGTCGCCCCCACCACGTACCACGTCTGGGTAGTGGCCACTGCACGCACAAGACAGCGCAGCTGGGCAGCTTCGCAAATTGCGCTCATAATGTCCTGAAGACATATAGGAAGCTGTATGCGCAGTGCCTGACCGCAAGCCCCTGCTGCGACGCGGCCTTGTTGTCAGCACGGGGGAAGTGCGCGATCACATGCATCTCAACCTCTCCGCATTGTTTGTCGGGGAAGGACGCGACCACTTGCATTTCATCGTAGCTGAGCTTGTGCCCGCGCATGAAGCTTCGGTCGTTTCCTCGCCACCCCCATCCTCCATTCCATCGCCATGAAGGGTCGCTCGTCGTGCCGATGTAGACGGAGCGCCCAGAGGCGATGGCGCGATCGCGGAGGTGCCGCACGCGCTTCATCACTAGACCAACGTCGATGTCGATGAGGGGCTGGTGTACAAACATCGATTGCATGCCGCGACAATCACTAAGCACCTGTCGAGCGTCCTCCCGGGCGCCTTCCCACATCATCTTAAGCCGTGTCTCTCGGCTGCGCGAGCGCATGCGACGCCTGGCAGGCGCTGTCACTCTTTTGCCGTCGTCGTCGAAACAGGCGACCTTCGCGAACTGAAGCGCGCTGCCGCCATCGACCCCTGCAAAGGCCCTCGGGCTCCGAACTCCAGAGGCCTTGTCGCCACCGTCGCCGCATCCTGCTCGGCCCTCGACAGCGTCGGTAGGCGGTCCCCCGCGTGAAAGGTCGAGCCACAGGCGATCTGTGATGAACGAAAATGTGTCATTGTTCCCCTTGCCCATGCCACCACCATTGACGCCCTCGGCGCTGATGGTGTCATTGGCCATGACCTTGACCTTGACGTTCACGCCGCAAGGCCCTCGAGCTGCTCCGCCGTCTCCGACGCTCCCTGGAGGAAGCGACGATGCTGATGCTGGATGCACCTGTGCTGGAGAGGGCGATGCTGTCTGGGTCTCGCAGGCCCTGATCTCTGGAGGCGACGCCGACGGCTCTTGCAAGCCCTTATCCCTGGAGGAAGCGATGCTGTCTGGATCTCGCGCTGCTCTGCGGGTGCCGCCAGCGGCGCCCACGCCCGCTGCAAAACCTCCCTGGTCGGCTTGTTGCGGACTCGCAGCGGCGGCGGCCACGGTCCGAACGTCCACGGCAACTCTGGCTTCAACATAGAATAGAGCGTCATACCTCCAGTGGCCTCGTCATCCGAGCCGCCGAACATGTCTCGCAGAAGGCGGGCAGACACCGGCTGCGAGTCCGCGCTGGGAGACCCCCGGGATGAGGTGCTGAATAAAGGACCCCCCATGGTTCTTGCCCCAGCCATGGGGAACTAGCTTGGGCCAATATGCCAAGATGATGTAAGGATGCGAATCCTGTCGCGGATCTGCTGGGGTGCTCGGGGGGCTGCGGGGTCCTGGGCGTGGCGCCCCAGGGCCCTAGGGCCCTCTCTGGTGGCCTCTTCCTCCTCGCTTGCTGCGTCCAGCTGGCGGCGACCGGGGAGGTACCGGGCACCAGAAAGCCGAAGGCTAGAGGCTAGAACAATTCGAACCAGACAGCCCAGGCATCCAAGCGCCTAGCGCCCTGGTCCCCCCACGTGGGCCTGCGGGGGCGCCGCGGCCTCCCGCGGCAGCGCCGCCCGCCACCAGGGGCCTGGGGGGTGGGGAGGCGCAGGAGCTGTTGCAGCGGAGGCGCAGCAGACGGCGAGAGAAGACGAGTCGGAGAAGCTCGCCGTTTTGTTGTCACGCTTCTCTGCATAAACAGCTGCGCCTACGATGCCTGGCCCTATCGAACCTCGGGCGCACGCCCGCATGCCTATCACTAGGAGCCTAGTGGACAGGCTTCTGCACGCCGAGAGACGGAGGGCGGCGCTCCTCTGGGGAGAGCTTGAAAGGGAACCTACAAATTACCTGCCTCCAGCACGACAACGGCGGCACGCCGAACGGAGGCGCTGTTGCAGCGGAGCGCTGGTCACAGAGACTCTGCCGATTCCGCGCAAACGTCCCCATCCCAGACCCCTTCCCATTCCCCTCACCACTGCCATCCCCCTGAGTAAGTCAACTGGCAACCTGAGGCCGGCGAGCTGGATGCCAGGGTCCCTGAACGAGTGGCACGCTCCTAAGATGAGACGCACGAGAGGACCATACCACACACAATACATGTACTTCGCGTTGATATGTGTGCTAATCATATACAAACACACACACACACACACACACCTCAGTCGTGCAGCCGGCTCAGCATCAAGGAAAACCGCAAGACAAACCCAGTCCGCACAGCGTCAAAGCGCGCGCGGTGGGCCGCACAGGCGCGCCACTGTTACAGTATAAGCCAAACTTCAGGTCACCCGCGCCGAAGGGTATCTGACAGACAGTCACCGCCCGACGCGACTGGAAGCACTTCGCCGACCGGGTCAGGCGCTCGAGAACTTGCGGTACTCAGTCATGCTAGCCGCCCACAACCCCACTCGAAATGTGTGCGAGGGCGCCGCGTACTCGACTTGTGTGCGTATCTGTTGCGTAGCGGAAGGCAGGGCTCATCCGAGAGGCGCATCTGTGCAGGTCAGCCAAAACTGGCGCTGACAGAAGCAATGCCTAAACCAGAACTGGCGCGTCGCAGTCGACTGTTGCAGTCTCCCAGAAGCGCGCTCGGAGAGGCCCCGCGATTTACTGTGACAGCCTGTGCAAGCTGTCAGCTGCTCCCAGACGCGGGCTGGTCCCACCGAGGCTCACAGAGTTGCTTTGCCTCGTCAGGGTGCGTGTAATACATGGGCGCGACTCTGTCGTACAGCGTTTCTGGGCGCGGGCGACTGTAGTAGTTGCCATGGCACTGCGCCTGCACGTCCACGAGGATCCCGAAGATGTGCTCCCTGAGACAATAGCCATTGATGTTCTGCCTCATGTCGCCGATCCAGTACTTGTACTCGCGCCTGTGGAAGTCCCATTCTGCCTTGATCACGATGTGCGCGTAGTATTGGTGCTGCGGTTGCACCGGGCAGAAGACGATGTCTCCTTTCTGCACGGTGGGCGCCTCCTTCACGACGCCGCCAGGGCCCGCTTCCGCTGTTACAGCTTGGATGGGGTGAAAGGTGCAGAAGTCGTGCGACCGCACCAGAGGCCACATGGAGCTTCCCGAGCTCGGGTACCACACGGGGAAGCCGGCTAGGAGGTACTCATGTATCATATTGTTCCTCTCTGCCCGCAGCTGTAATTCCAGAACGAGCTTGTCGGGGTCCGACCACGCACCCTCGACCAGCGCCCAGTCCTTGTGGAACACGGGAATGGCCTCGTGCGGGGGCGACAAAACAAAGGGTGGAAGGCGCTTCGGCTTGCTCTGCTCGACGACTGCGGCCTCCTCGGGGGGCAACTTGGCGATGGACTTGTAACCTTTGGACTGCTCCGCCGTCTGACCGACCTTTGCACGTAGTGGGAAGGCTGACATGGCTCTTGCAACTATGCGGGCATTCGTCGTCTGTTCCGCCTGCCGCTTAAGAAGTTCCCCGCGCTCGATAGGCCCCTCCCTGTGCTTCGCGGTGGCAGAAACCGTCGTCGCCCGCGTGGCTGGCCCACGTGGAGCCTGTGATAAGAGCTGGCGCCGCTCAGCCTCCATGCGTTCCTGCCGCGCTCGCTCTGGCTCGGGCTTGTAGTGGCCCGCCTCTTGTCGCAGCTGCGCTCTCGTCATCGGCGGCGGCGGCGGCGCGACCCTGCCCGATAAATCGATTGGCCGTGGCGGGCGGGGGGGCATCCGTTTCGGAAGAGGCTGGCCCTCCGCGGGCGCGTCGCTGACCCTCTTCGCTGGCGCGTGCTTGGCCCACGGAGTCTTTCGTCTCCAATCATCCTCCTCCTGCCGAAGCGGAGATGTGAGAAGGGCACCCATCCCGCGCCGTGCATGGCTTTCTGGCCGTGTCCGTGCCGTGACAGGAGAATCCCGCGCCGTGCTGCGGGCGCGCTCTCTGCCTCTGCGGGTACGGTCACCAGCCTCTCGGGGGGAGTCGCTGCCGGAGATCGCAATCGCGTGGCGCGGATCACCCGACTGCTCGGCCTGGGCCCGCGTTCTGTCGGCCTCCGACGGAAGCTCCGTCAGCCTGACTCCGCTCCTCGCCGCCATCGGCGGGCCACTAGCGCCTGCGCCCTCACGAGCTGTTGCTGCCTCTCGCCGCCCGCTCGACGCTGTTGCAGCCAACTGGCGCTGGCGCGGCGACGCCTCTCTCTGGCGACTCTGGGCGTTTGACAGGCGCCGCTGCTGCCTCACCCACCGCTGAAGATCCCAGTGGTGCCGTGCACAGCCTTCGATCCCAGTCGCCCCTGGCGGGTTCCGACGCTCCCAGTCTATCATCTGAGTGTTCCACCTGATCTCCTCATCGCTCAACTGCCTGCGTGCGGTCGCGTCCAGGCATCCGTAGGGTCTCTCCTGGCCCTCCCAAGACTCCTGGGCGGTCGAAGATCATCATGCCGTCATTGTCCCCAGCGCAGGCGGCGCTCATGATGGACCCAGCGCAGGCGGCGCTCATGATCCAACGCCTCATCGTGTTCGCCCTCCTGACGCGCTAACTTTATATTCAACTCGCACCGCTCCCTCTGGCTCCGCAAGCCTTTGCGCTGGTTGAGCAAGTACTCCCAGGTGCCGACCTGAAGACGGGAGCTCTAACATCCCATGTTAGAGCTCCCACGCAGCTCCTACTAGCCAAAACTGGAGGAGCTGCAGTACAATTCGGCGTCGAACTTGATATGTTACACCTCCCTGGGGTATCCCCAGGGAGGTGTAACATATCAAGTTAGACGTCAAATTGTACTATGTCAGAGCTCCCTGGGAGCTCTGACATCCTCTAGCATGCCATGTTAGATCTCCATGGGAGCTCTAACATGGTATGTTAGAGCTCCAATGGAGCTCTAACACCCTCTAACATCCTCTAAATTGCCATGTTAGAGCCCCGTGGGAGCTCTAACGTGGCATGTTAGAGCACCATGGGAGCTCTTATCAGACAGGGGCGGGGGGGGGGTACTACAGTTAGCCCAGATCTGGCTGGTCTGACCTGGCGCCCTGTGCCCTTGCCCTCGCGCGCGTCGTTGCCCGCGCCCTTGGCGCCCTTGCCCATCATTGCCAGCGCGCGCGCGGCGCGCGGGCAGAGCAGGGAGTCGAGCCGACAGCTACGGAGACGAGGGAGACAGAGAGAGGGAGAGAGAGATCCCCAAAGTTTTCGGATGAGATCACTGCAGAGGTTTCGATGGGGATGGGAAGGGGGCTGGGCTGTTGCAGCGGCTGTTGCAGCGGCTGTTGCGGCGGCTGTCGCAGCGGCTGCTGCAGCGCCTGTTGCAGCGGCTGTTGCAGCGGCTGTTGCAGCGACTGTTGCAGCGGCTGTTGCAGCGGCTGTTGCAGCGGCTGTTGCAGCGGCTGTTGCAGCGGCTGTTGCAGCGGCTGTTGCAGCGGCTGTTGCAGCGGCTGTTGCAGCGGCTGTTGCAGCGGCTGTTGCAGCGGCTGTTGCAGCGGCTGTTGCAGCGCTGTTGCAGCGGCTGTTGCAGCGGCTGTTGCAGCGGCTGTTGCAGCGGCTGTTGCAGCGGCTGTTGCAGCGGCTGTTGCAGCGGCTGTTGCAGCGGCTGTTGCAGCGGCTGTTGCAGCGGCTGTTGCAGTGGATGTTGCAGGGGAAGACGGCCTCGTCGCTGCTCCTGCCTCGTCCTGCTCCCCCCTCCTCCTTCAGCCCCATCACCCCCCTCATCCCCCTCCTCCTGAGGGCGGCCCTGGGCGCCCGATGCTTCCCACCCCCGCCCTCCCACCCTCGCCGCCGACAACCGCCGCCACGGGCAACGCAGCCCCCCCCCCCCATCGGCGACCTTCAGGTCCCCAGCGGCGGGCAGCGCCGCCCGCGGCAGCGGCGCCCACTGAGGGGCGCAGGGGAGGTAAGGTCGGACGACGTTGGGCGGCGCTCTTTTTCAACAAAACTGGCACGATCGCAATCTATGGCACGGCCTTGGTGCCCGGGCACAGTGCTTCAACCGTCGCGTCGAAACGCAGAGCCCAGTTCCTCGGGCTGTTGTAGAGCTGTTTGGCGGCTCTGTCGACGCCCACTTCTTCCCCCGAGCGGCACAGCGCGCAAGTTCGCTGCACCAGGCGGGGATTGGCCTGCCTCTTGAAGAACTTGCAGAGCTTCCTGGGGCTCTTGTAATAGATCACACACCCACTCGGCGTCTGGGCAAACGCTCGCAAGACGCGGGCAGTGTAGGCAGGTCTTCCGCGAGAGCCTCTGTTACAGCCACGTGGTAGCTCTTGCTCGAGTTCCGAAGCTTCTCCGCGTGCTGGATGCCTTTTGGAGAATCCCCCCGTGCAACGTCAGTCGGCGCTGTGGAAAAAAGCTCCCGTGAACGCTGCTACGATCTGGGCGGCGATGCAATAGTCAGCGTCAGCTGTTGGCGCCAAGACTACGTTCCCCTTCTTCCCCTGGGCCGCATGACGGGCAAGATAGTCCAGGAAGTCCACCGGGTCCTGAAACACCTTGAAACGCAAGCGCTGCGCCTTGTTGCGAGCGCCCCCATCTACCCTGCGAGCCAGCACGAGCCCAGCGGGGCGCGGGGGGGGGCAGCAAGTAAGCGTCACGGCCCGCAGCTGGCCTGGCACTGCGCAGGACTTTCTTCTCTCGGGTACTCCTGGCCTTGGCGGCGGCCTTCGCCCCTCCAAGATTGCGCCCTCGGATCTTGGCCCCCCGCTTGGCGACGGCGGCGGCGACTTTTGCAGCGGACCCGACTGGATCTGCGCCGCTCGCCTGGGCCGCTTCCTGAGCCAGCGCAGCGAGATCGGGGGCGCCCTCCGCGAGAAGGCGGGCGCGCTTGCTCGGGGAAGGGGCCACCATGGCGTCGACGGCAGCTGCTCGCCTGCGCCCGAAGCCTACCTCTGTCCGACGTGCTGCCCCAGGCTCCCGCGTGCTTCCCTTGTCGCGCCTCTCGGCCCTCCTCAGCGGCACGATCTCCCCCTGCGCGATCTCATGTCGCTTGGGCACATGCCTGTACCAACGACTGGCGGCAGAGCTGCTCTCGTCGTTGTCGCCCAGCCACGCGCGCAGCAACCTGCTGGGGCGCGCCTGGCCCACGAGCGTGCACTCCTCGACGGACACGTCGAGGAGCCGCGCCCTCTCGGGGCAATGCACCTCCGAGAAACGGCGGAATCGCCTCTCCAAGTTGCCCGTGTTCGTTTTCCATACAAGGAAGAGCTCCACGAGGCGACGGCCGCTGGGGAGCTCGGGCCACTCCACGGCAGCGCGGCCCCAAGCCTGCCGCGCGGTGCCCCCGTCTCGATGATGCGCCTCGGCACGGGGCAACATTTGCCGCAGCTGGGAGATTGCCTTCTGCCAAACAGGCCTCGGCTTCTGTTGCATGCTCTGCTGTTGCAGACAGGGGCAGGGGGGAAGGCAAGCGAAAGGCTGTAAAGGCGTGCAACCAAGAATGCTCTGGCCGATATAGCTTCATGTTCTCGTTCACATTGGCCACGATCCCCTGCACTCGTCCAAGAGCCGCGTGGGCGGCTTCGCGGGCCCGGGGCCCTGCGCTCCAATCGCCGATACCAACGGTCTGGACGCCAGCGCCGCACGCGAACCGCTTCGTGGCCTTCATAAACTGGAGGGTGACGCCAGTAAACGCGCTGGGGATGGCCAGAATATTCCCCTGGACGAACAATGTATCCAGCTTGGAAAGGAAAGCGGCGGCCCTGGATTGAACGCTGGCAGCGTCGGGGTTGCTCTTTTCTCCGGCGGCGACCCAGGAGTAGTGCTCCGCGCTCAAGTCGGCCAGCACCCCCCCCCCCCCCAGGAGCAGGCGCGAACTGTTCTCGCCCCCGAGCCCTTCCAGAATACGTCGGGCGAGATTGCGCCGATCTTTGTCATCCCCCTGGGACTCCACTCCGAGCGCCTGGGGAATGACTTCCCAACGCCGACTTCCCCGTGCTAAGGGCCTCGCCCGACTGTTGAAACGCTGGGGGGCCCAGCCGAAGATTTTGGCGAACGCAGCGCCGTCTTCCACCAGCTGCCGCTCCCCGAGTGCGTTGCGGAACACGGTGGAGGTAGTCGGGAACTTGGCCAGACTTGGCGGCTTCTTACCCATTGCCAGCAGCTCGTCCGCGGTCGTTATTTCGCTGTCTCCTTTCATCGAATTGGCCAGAACCTTCTGGGACGAGCGAGACTCGCCCCACGCGTGAAACGCCAGCCCAGGGAACGTAGCTGTTGCAGCCAGGGGTACACTTAGATGCGCCCCATCGCTGCGCCATGCCCGAGTCTCCTGTCGCACATGCTTGTGCGAGTCCCCGTCCAGCCCCCCGCCTGCCGTCTGGCACGCGCGACGGACGCGCTCCTCCAGCATGGAAGCCTTGCCGTCGCAGTCCACGCCCCGCGGGAACTCCCGCACCCCGATCACCCGATCCACGATCCAGGGCCCGCTGGGGCCCAGCTGTTCCAGCCAGCCTGCCTTGAGACCGTAGCTTAGGAGGAAGTCCAAAGCCTTCGGGATCGACCACAGCACGGCGTCAATTTCGACCTGGCACGCGCGGTCGAGGCCGTCCGCAGCCAAACGAAAAACAGCACCACGTTTGAGGATCCCCTGCGTGATGATCTTCTCGTGCTGAGCCATGGTGGTCACCAGCCTTCGGCACTGCCGACTAGACTCCAAAACTTGGCGGTCGCCCCCAACGAACGCATCCCGCCACACGTCGAAACTACTGAAGGAACTGGTTTTCTCCAACATTGCACGGGTGGCGACCGCTGCGCGGCAACCAGGGCCCTGGTCGGCGTTGCGGACGACGGCGGGCGCAGGCGCCACGGCTGTTGCAGCTGCTGCAGCTGATGCAGCCGTTGTGGGGAACACAGACACGGGGAGACCCTGGTGCACACCTTCCGCTCGAATCCGCTCTTTCCACGCCGCTTCTGCTGCCTGGTGCCCCTGGCACTGCGCATGGCGCACGAGGTTTTCCTCGCGCTGGAAACTCGCGGACCCCTGGCCTATAGCAGCGAGCGCCCTTGAACGCCGAGCAGAACGAGCAGACTGCAAATCCACCACCTACGCAGCCTATCCAAGTTTCACTCTTCAGTGTTACTGGATTCGTCGCAGACATCGAGGCGCTCCACTTCTCCTTGTTCTTCCAAAATTTGCAAGCGCCGCAGGTGGAGACGTGCTTTGGGTAGTCGTGGCTGGCGACGTGCTCCTCCAGGGCCATGGACAACGAAGGCGGGAACTTCTCGACTACTTTGCTCGGGGCGGCCTTCGCCTTCGCTCTTGCAGCCGCGGCTGCCTGGCTGCTGGAGCCGCTGTCCTCTCCGGAGCCGCTCTCGGAGCCGCTGTTGGAGCCGCTGTCCTCTTCGGAGCCCGCTGCGTCGGCAACTCCGCCGGCGCCGTCGGCGTCGGACCCTACGTCAGCATCGGCGTCCGAGCTGTTGCAGCTGCCACGGCTTGGCGAAGCTGCCTTCGACGAGGCCGCAGGGCTCGGGCTCGGGCTCGGCGAAGCTGCCCTCGAAGAAGAAGCAGGGTTCGGGGAAGCATGGCTCGGGGAAATCAAACGAGAGGACGAGGCCGCAGGGCTCGGGGAAATCAAAGGAGAGGACGAGGCTGGAGGGCTCGGGGAAACCGCCCCAGCGGACGACGACATCATTTTGAGC